TAACCTATGACTGTATGTTTTGCATTCCTAGAAGTAGGTTAACTGTGTTTTTAAATTGTTATAACTTCACAACTTTTTGAAATCTGCCCTACAAATTTGTTTGGCTTAAACGTCAAAGCCGAGACAATTTGTTCTTTGATGTGATTGTATTTCCAGTTTCTTGTTCATGTAAAATTTCAATAAAACTCAAAAATCTATTCAAAACATTACCTATTTCAAATTCAATTGTGTCCTAAAACATTATTTTATTCGTAATCCTTGCAAGGAATATTGTTTTCAAAGTATAACTGCCTATGTGAGTGATCAAATTCATGCAAAATTTCTTGTCTATTCCAACATGTATTGTGGATATCAGACTGAGAATTAGTCTTTTAAATTCAAGTAGCACTTCACTGATTGGTGTTCTCGCATAATCTTTTCTAATTTTGAAATTTTATCCTTTATTTAAAAAAAAAAAAAAACAGCTTCAGCGGCTTTTGAACATTTTTTGCAGACATTGGATAATTTGCATTAAACCAAATAAACTGGGTCTTGGGAAGCAGACTGCAATTTATTTTGACCCACATTCTTTCTGTCAAGGCTGATTTGTGGCTGAGGATCTTATCTGCTGGATAAGTGAATGTACCTACAGAGAAAAAGCTTAGTACTGTGGCGTCAATTGCACTGCGGACTAAACTTCAGTTTTAGTATATATGATTGTGACTAGTGCTTAATTTACTGGTTTAGGAATATATCTTCCTATTGCTATGTAAATTTGCTTTGGGAAACAGTTATGCCTTGTGAGAGAGGCTTTTAAATATCTAGTATTTATACCTCCAACTTTCTGTTAACACCTCTTTTATTTTGTATTTTTATTATCTCTCATGGCTAAGTTTTCTGTTGGCCAAATCATAACTTCTATTTTCCTTCGGAATTCTGATGACTTTTTTTTTTTGCTTGAGAAATAGAGGTACGAAGAATATGAACTTCACAGTGCAGGAAAGTCTGGATCACCTTAAAGTCACTATCAAATTGTCTTTTGCATTTTATTCGTAGATGGTTTGGAAATCTTTTTCTTTGGTGCTGGCAGTTAAGCTCAGGCCCTTGCACGTGCTGAGCACGCACACTCCTGCTGAGTTCTACTCACCCTAAACCCCTCTAAATTTTTTTCTTTTTTAGTGATAAAAATGTTTTGTTCCTGTTTGGTGTCTTTTGTAAAATACTAGATTTCAAAATCAGAAGTTACTTAATTCCTTTCCTTAAAAGCTTTGTTAGGTCATTTTGGGTTTCATGACTTCTCTTTATGTCAAAGAAGAAAACCTTTGCTGATGAAAGTCAGTGTATCATTTCTTTTTCAAAGATTGCTTGTTGCACAGTAATGGAACAGGCATCATTAAATTAACGCTATTTTTTGGAAACAGATAAAGGAATTTTATGGTCTGTTTTAGTAGCAAGTATTTCACATGGGTATTTAGTTTAAGTTGTTTTTTTTATGCCCATGTATGCTTGTAATGACACCAAACATTCTTTTAAGTGCTACTTTTAAACCTGGGGAATATGATTTGAAGCTGAAATTAGACTTAAAGCCCTGATTTTTCTTGTGATCAACAAAATACAAATAAAATGAGTTGTTTATGTTTCTAAAAGATTAGAATATTATAAGCTACAAAGTTGGCATGAAGAAAAATAGGAATGAGGATACATTTTTAAAAAGTCTGTTATGCTTTTCCCACCTGCCCTTAAATATAAACTCTAGTAAAAATAAATAAACCTGGAGTTCCAGGTGAGATTACTCTAATAGCAGATCATATT